TTAGTATTTTATAGTTTGTTTTAAATTCACATGACTTTATATGTAAAATAAAAAATAATAAAAAAGAAATAAAAATATATATAATATATTTTTTTCTCAAAATACAATAAGAAAATGGTTTTTTTAATGTTTGTATCTATTTCTTCAGACAAAAGTTAGTAAATAAATAACCTACTGTACCATCATGCTTTGCTGCACGACGTAGCATGACACTGTACATTGCCTATTAGCATTTCCAATCCTTAATGATTATTGAAAAGTAAATTACTTGGAAGGAAACTGACTGAAACTCAGTCATGGTATCATACAGTAAACGCCCGAAAATAAGAACCTAATGGATTAAGAACCTCTTGGCAGAAATTTGCCATTTTAGCAACCCCTTAAAATAAGAACCTCTTTAGCCAAACATTATCTAGCAGGTTCTTATAATATGGGTTAGAGCTAAATTATAGGATAAACAAACCACAAGTTACTGACACAATTAGAGGTGACTGTGTGTAAAAGAAATAAAAGATAAGTTACACAAAATGTCCAATATAATACAGCAGTACAAACACTTTATCCTTTATAGCTAGCACCATTTAGTGTTGAACTAAATGTTAATGTAGCACTGACAAAGCAATAAAGACATTCAACCTTTTAGAGAACAGTGCTTCAGACTACTGTTACAATTAAGAAACTAATTAAAGAACCTGTTTTGCCAAAATTACCAACAACTACCCCTTAAGGCACGGTAATACGAGCAACAAAAACGTCCAACTTGTCTCGCAACATTGATGCAAAACGGGTTGGAAAGCGATGTTGCTCGTTTTTCTACGCGCGTACCAACTTGTCTCGCGTCAAAATGGCTTGTTGCAAATTGGAAAAATTTGTTGCAGAAAGTAGAAGATCGTTCTACTTTTTGCAACAAAATCCGTCGATGTTGCTCGTATTACTACAGCAACCCAACTTGTCTCGCGGCAAAATGACGTTCAGCGCGCGCAAGCCAACATCAGGTGATGTTTTTAGCCAATAAGAAATCTAAACTAATTCAACTTGCAACAAATTATTTTGCTGCGAGACAAGTTGGTTCGCTGGTAGTAAAACGCGCAGCATCGCTTTTAAACTTGTTTTTCAGCAATGTTGCGAGACAAGTTGGACGTTTTTGTTGCTCGTATTACTGTGCCTTAAAAAAAAGAACCTTTTTTGACAGATATTCAAGAAATAAGGTTGTTATTTTCAGTTGTTTACCGTACTGTAGAATATCATTCACTTTCAACTGAGGACTCTTAAACTATAGCCATTATT